TGAGGAACCCCAAGTTCCCCTATGGAAGCCACTCCCCTTTTGGATGTATCCCATAGCAGAGGAACTCTGCCCCATTACACTGGTCCAGGCCACAGGCTGAGGACACTGATATGCCCCTACACAAGAAGGTGGTGGCCAGGAAAGCATATACAGCCCAACTCCAAATCTCTTAAGCACCCTGCTCTAGAGTCTGGGGGCAATAATTTTTCCTGGGAGTATCACAGAGATGATGATTCCCAGGCCTTGAAGGATGAATAGGAGTTCACTGGATAGAAAAGTGAAAGAGACTGGGTGCGGTGGCTCATGCCTGTAATCCTAGCACTCTGGGAGGTCAAGGTGGGTGGACTGCTCGAGGTCAGGAGTTCGAAACCAGCCTGAACAAGAGCGAGACCCCATCTCTACTATAAATAGAAAGAAATTAATTGGCCAACTAATATATATAAAAAAAACTAGCCGGGCATGGTGGCTCATGCCTGTAGTCCCAGCTACTCGGAAGGCTGAGGCAGGAGGATCGCTTGAGTCCAGGAGTTTGAGGTTGCTGTGAGCTATGCTGACGCCATGGCACTCACTCTAGCCTGGGCAACAAAGTGAGACTCTGTCTCAAAAAAAAAAAAAAAAGGAAAGTGAAAGGAAGCACATTCTAGGCAGGGAAAACAGCACATGTGATGACACAGAACGTGAAAATACATGGAGTGTTGTTTTTTTTTGTTTTTTTTTTTGGAGACAGAGTCTCACTTTGTTGCCCAGGCTAGAGTGAGTGCCATGGCCTCAGCCTAGCTCACAGCAACCTCAAACTCCTGGCTCAAGCAATCCTGCTGCTTCAGCCTCCCGAGTAGCTGGGACTACAGGCATGCGCCACCATGCCTGGCTAATTTTTTGTATATATATTTTTAGTTGGTCAATTAATTTCTTTCTATTTTTATTAGCGATGGGGTCTCAGGCTGGTTTTGAACTCCCGACCTGGAGCAATCTGCCCACCTCGGCCTCCCAGAGTGCTAGGATTGCAGGCCTGAGCCACCACGCCCTGCCTAAATGGAGTGTTTGTTGAAAGGCAAACAGACACCACTTTGACCTCAGAGACACAAAGTGCCCACTACCCCAGGAGACCCTTTGCTTTAGCACTACCTACCCTCTTCCTCAGCAGGGAGAAATGGCATTATTCATACTGGACTCTCCTTACCCACCTTCCTATGACATCCAGGTCTCAGTGTCTTATCTAGCTGTCCAAAGGCAGGCTTGCTCCTGCAGCCTATCCTCAAACCCACAGAATCTCAGAACTAGCAAGGATCTCAGAGGCCATTAAAGCCCACAAGATAAGGCATGTCTGGCCCAAAGGGGAGCAGGACTTACCCAAGTCCTGCTATGCAGCAGAGCAGAACTCAAACTCAGGGGTCCCTCCACAACTCCGCACCGAGCACAGTCGTCCCTGAAGGGTGGCCAGAAGGAACTTGGGGAGGCTGCAGTGAGTTCACAGGGTTAAGTCAGCCGGGCCTGGCAGAGCGGCTCCCAAATCCTCAGAATGAGAGCCATCCCCACTCCTACCCCTCAGCCACTGCCCACTGCCTGAGAGAAACCCTCAGAAGAGCTACATCCTCCTTTCTCCAGAGCTGGTCCTAAGACTCTACGGAGGGTACCCCCCTCCAGAGCCAGAAACACATCCAACATCATATTGCGTGTGGAGTGTGGAGGCAGACTGAGTGGCTCTGTCATTACTGCCCTGTGAATATCACTTCCACACAGGTGGGGACCTTGCCTGTCTGTCCTCAGGCATTCTCATCACCTTGAACAATGCCTGACACTACACAGTAAAGAATATGTCTTTTTCAAATGAATGAATCTGAGTGACCTTGAGCAACTTACTTTTACCTTCTGAAAGGGCCTTTTTTCACACAAATGGTGATAACTGCCCACCTCACGAGTTGTCTGGAGCACAAGGGAAGACTTTCATGAAAATGCTTGGCTAGGCCAACATGGTGGCTCCTGCCTGTAATCCAAGCACTTTGGGAGGCTGAGGCAGTAAGATGGCTTGAGGCCAGGAGTTCAAGACCAGCCTGAGCAACATACCGAGACCCTGTCTCTACAAAAAATAGAAAAATCAGCCAGGCGTGGTGGCCCGCACCTGTAGTCACAGCTACTCAAGAGGCTGAGGCAGGAGGATTGCTTGAGCCCAGGAGCTTGAGGTTGCTGTGAGCTATGATCATGCCATTATACTCTAGCTCAGGTAACAGAGTGAGACCCTGTCTCCAAAAAAATTTTTTTAATTAAAAAAAAAAAAAAAAAGCATGGGCAGGGTCTGGCAGATAGCCTTCCTGTTACTTCTCTTCTGCAGATCAGCCAGCACCCTGCTCTCATTCCACAGTCTGCCCGCCTCCTCCAGAAAGCCTCCCCTGATTATCTGCTGGGCTCCAGTCCTGGCACCTGTCCCAGAAACACTTCCTTCCCACACACTTGTCTAGAGTCCAGGTGATATTTCTGGAAAATATGGATCCCTGTTTTTGTTTTTTTAACTTTATCTTACATCTGAGTCTTCCCGTGGCACAAAGGTGAGACTCCACCTTCTGTGAATCCCCCGCAGTAATCATCATCATGGGGTAACCAAGTGAGTTGTTTTCCAAACATGGAGCAGGAGGAACGTAGCCAATGCCCAAGTCCTCGGCATCACGACAGCAGAAACCTGCTACCTTGTGCATCACGCTCTTCAATTCACAAAGCACTTGCATGTCTGCTATCTAATTTGATCCTTGAACTACCCCTGTAAAGCCAAGATTTATTATCCCTATTTTACAGATAAGGAAACTGAGGCTTAAAGGGGTGAATAACCTGCCAGCTTCACATAGCTTGAGAGGGCAGCAGAGTTGTTCCCATCAGCCAGAGCCCATTCCTTCCAGACGGGGCTCTTAGAGCTCAGATGACTAAACTAACAAACACAACAATAGAAACCCCTTTCATTTCTATGGTGACTTCTCTTTCATATAATATTCATATCTGGCCAGGAAACCAAGGTAAGAGGATCACTTGAAGTCAGGAGTTCAAGACCAGCTTGGGCAACATGGTGAGACCCTAGCTCTACAAAAAATATAAAATTTAAAAATTAAAATTTTCATATCGTCTCTCATGAGAATCTTGGTGAAACAGAAAGGTCATAGACCTATCAAGGCAATGTCCAGCCAGAGGACCACCCCTGTGACACCCTTCTTCTCCCCTTTGAGACAATAATGGAATCAGTGAGGCCCCAGAGAAGTTGCTGTCCAACGTTATGGGGCTTGCTAGTAGCTGAGCCGGGATTTAAACTCTCATTTGCCTGACTCTGATACTCTCCCCCCTCTGTCAAGCTCCTCACATCACTCTGGGTCATTTCTCATCTGTAAAGTGGGTTGAATGAGAAGATCTTTAAGCTTTACCCCCTGCTCTATGTCCTTGGGAGAGTCATGAAAATAGCACCAGTTTTGGAGGCAGCAGGTGATTTGAATTTAAATCCCAGTTTGGTCAAATCACTCACTCACTGTTCCTGAGCCTCAGTTTTTTACATCTGCAAACAAGATCAAATGAGGCAATGGATACAGGGCTCCTGACACATTCAGAATAATTAATAAATGTCAGATTTCCTCTCTTTTTCTAAGACTATGCAGGGCAGTGGGGGAAACAGGAGATCCCAGAAGATTGGTGCTCAACATTCTATTACTAGCTCAGTTTTCCCATCTCATAGTAGGAGAGTCAGATTAGAGCAGTCAAGACCGCATCTCTTATGTCTTTGGCTCAGAGATTGGAATAGAGGAGATAAAGGCCCCTGACAACTCCCCCCCCCAAGGAATTTTCCATGTAGTCTTCCTCCCCCCACCCCCCATCCTGTCTCCATTCTGAACATTCTCCCTGAAAGAGTTAAGCCTTCTTCAGGCTTCTCCTTCCTTGCCAGCAGTCCAGTGGAGATTAGAAGGATCAGATTTATTTCTCTTAATAAACAGAAAAGAAGGTGGGCCAGGCAGGTGACAAGGAAACAATTGCAATAATAGGAGACTGGAGCAAAAGGGAACAGGACTTCCTCCAGTGGTACCTGGGGCCACCTCCAGCCCTGGGGAAACAACAGCCAGGGGCAGGGAGGTGTCTCCCATGCACGTGGGCTCACATAAGGCCGACCTGCTGCCCAGAAAGCCCAGTGCCACCAAATACCAAACACAAGGCTGGGGGAGGCCTGGCCAATGACCCAATGACCCCAAAGCCAGGCTGTTGTAGCTGGGACCTACAGGCTCAGCTTTTCCAGCCCCCTGCCTCCAGACCCATCTGCCCTGGGGTACAACACTAGTCCACTAGCCTTCTGCCTGCCAATCCTGACAGTCTGACCACAATCCAGACTGCTGCAATTCTGACCCATGTCTACTTGAGAGAGATGGAAATGACTTTAGACTGAATCCCAGTTGGAGCAGCCCTGGTACAGACTCCATGTCCTGTTAGGATTGCAAAGCCCTTGGAAATACCCCTCACCCAAACCTTCCCTCAGAGCTTGGCCCGGCCATCCCAACCCCAGTGCCCTGACTTCTATTTGTGGCTGGGCCGCAGGGGAGCAGGGCCCTTATCCAAAAGGAAGATCAGGCCGGATGCAATCACACAAGAGGCTTTCCACCCTCTTCCTGACCCTTAAAGTGTTCCTTCTAATTCTCCTCCAGAGGAGGTGGTTAAAGGACACTGGGAGGGTAAACACAGGCGGAATGGGATGGGCCCACACACCCCGCCATTTCCTCACCTCCAGCAACTGCAGCAGGAGTATAGGAAAGGTAGACTTCTGAGCCCCACCTTCATGCAGAAACTGACGCCCTCCCCACCAAAAAGAAGACAGAAATGGGGAAACGAGGAAGACCCAAGCAAGTGGCCAAAAGTAAAATGACCCCAGTACGGATAGGCCAGGTCAGCGTCCCCTCCTTTCCTGCTGCCCAATCTATCAGGGGAAGCCCAGGTGCTCAAATTCAGAAAGACGGGGAACTAACTGTTGTGTTTTAAGTACCCACCACAGCTCAGGTACAGCCTCTCCGTTTAGCTTGGGCCTCAGTTTCCCCTTTCTGTAAGCACACTCCTGACTCTGGCATGTCCCCTCTACCAGGGCTGGGGGAAAGAGAGAGGGGGACGGGTGGTTGGTTCACCATGGTGAGCTCACCACCCCAGGGGTGGATGCTTGTGGTTTGGCCCAGGTGAGCGGTGAGGGGGGCCAGGTGGGAAAAGCTAACACTGCTGAGAACCTAAGGCATGCTACGCTCCGCGCTGGGTTCTTTGTGGGGCTGGAAACTCAGCCACCTAAAGGGCTGCAACTCCTTCCGAGTGCAGTTGACCTTCCAGACCCAGAGGGACCCCCCCCTCCACCCAAGGCCACCTGCCTCTCCCATTGGCCCCTGGCCAGAGTCAAGTCTCTCACCCCCTGACTCAGCAGAGGGCAGAACCAGGGTGAGCCTGGGGGAGGGGGAATTGCCTCACCGCCCCAGAGCCAGACTGCCAGCACTTCCTGCCTAAGCCGGGGGATCCGTGCCCCAGCCAGGGGTCCCTCTGCTCAGAGTGGGGCGGGGCTGAGTGCGAGGGGGCGGTGCAGGATGGGGGTGCTCGGGCTGAGTCCAGGGCTCCCCCAGCACCGGCGCCTAGGGAGTCACCCCTCTCCAACATGCCGCGGACCCCCGGCGTAGCCACCCCGGCCGCACCCCGGGCGCCGCCCGGCGCTCAGCCCAGGTGCCCGGGCGCCTTACCTCGGCCTTTGCCCTTGGCCCTCCTGGCCTTGTCGTCCGCCTTCTTGGCGCGGGGGGCGGCCGTTTCGGCGCCCTCGGCCCCCGCCGCCTTCTTCTTGCGCCGCTTGACCCGCAGCCAGCTGAAGACGCGGCGGAGGCCGGAGCGGGACTTCTTCCTGCGCTGGGGGCCGCCCGGGCCCCCCGGCTCCTCGGCCGCAGGTGCGGCTGGGGGCGCGCGGGCCGCCATGGCGCGGCGGGCGACGGGCGCGGGGTCAGGCCCCCTGAGGCGCGGCGCCCATGCCCGGGGGCGGCCGCCGCGGCGAGACGCGCGGGGAGAAAAGTTTGGGCGGCGGAGGCCGAGCGAGCGCGGCGGGAGCGGCGCGGGAGGGGCCGGGCGGGCGGGGCGCGGAGGCCGGCCCGGAGGGAAGGAGCCGGGGCGGGAGCGGCCGCGGGGCGGGAGCGGCGCTGCCTGCTGCCCCTCCCCGCCTCCCCGGCCCGGCGAGGGCGAGGTCCGGTCCGCGGAGAAGGGGGTCCCGGGAGCCGGGGGCGGCGGCGTGCGGCGGCCGGGCCCCGAGGGGGCGGGGTCGCGAGGCCGGTCCCGGAGGGGGCACCACGGAGAGTGGGGTTCGGAAGAGGGTGGCACGGGGGTGGGGGTGGCAAGGGGAAGGGCTCCGCGAAGGGAAGGAGAAAGGCTGGGGTGGGACCCCAGGAGAGTTTGGGAAGAGATGGGGGATTCTGGAATTCTTTTGCTGGAATAAGGGAATTCGGAGAATTCCTTCCAGGACCCATTCGGCACTGGGGGGCTTACTGGAGGAACAGAGGCCTCAGGTAGGACCTGTGACCTACAGGGGCTTCTCCCTCCGTTCTGGGACTGGGAGTCGCCCCTGGCTCTTTACCAAGCCTTCCCCCAGGTTGCAACAAGCCTCAGTGTACTGCTGGAACCCAGGCCTGCTGGGTCCCTGCTTCACCTTTTGGTGGCTGGGGATAGTCCTTCCTCAGTTTACCCTGCGTGGGTCAGGGATTTCACACCGAGATACTCCTGGACCCTGATGAGGGCAGATCTCTGGGCAGGTGAGAAGTGTGACTGGGGAGGCTGGTGGGAAAGGAAGCCTTCAGGAATCTTGAAAATGCTGTGCTCATTTCCTCCAGGCCTCTGGCTCTTTATTATAGCTGACCAAGCCCTTCCATATCACCTGATCCCACAACAAGCTAAGATGGAGGCAGAGCAGGGAGCCTTACCCCTAGTACAGGAGGGAAATTGAGGCCAAGAGGGGACAGGGGTTACCCAAGAGCACAGAGGTGGTTAGCAGCAGAAGAGCCAAGAGGAGCATCTGGGTCTTGTCTCTGATCCGAGGCTTCAAGCCCTAGATCCGAGGCTTCAAGCACTAGACATTGCCCAAGGGGCAGCTGTGGGATCAGCACCCTTGGACCCTCTCCTCTGTCCCCAGAAGGGCCTTGTGATTATCCCATTGGTTATAGTTTGTCACCCAACCTGACCCTGGTCACACAGCTTTCTTCTGGCCTCCATGGGGGCAGGGCTCATTTGTCTGGCGCTCCCAGCCCAGCCAGCCCTGACACACTGTAGACAGCACTCACTGTCACACTGTAGGATGGTTAGAGGGAAGACCCACCTCTTCCTCTGTTAGTTGGTAAGCATTGAAGGAACGGTGTTACAGGCAGGGCTGAGACTTGCAGAGAGAGAGTGATACTCAGGGCCTTGGCCTGAGTATCAGGCCAACCTCCCAGCTTCTGGGAGGCTGTGAGACAGAAGGCTCTGGATGCACAGAGAAGGGAGGAAAGCAAACATACCTTGGCCTTTGGAAGGGGTGGTCAGGAGAGGGATGTTGGTTAATCTCACCCCCCATCAACCCTTGCAGCACCTCCTTTTCCCCAGTGGCCAGGACTGGCTAAATAATTTGCAGGGCCCATTGCAAAATGCAACTACAGGGTCCTTTGTTCAAAAAGTATTAAGAATTTCAAGAGGCAACAGCCAAGCATTCAATCACAGGGCCTTTCTGAGCACAGGGCCATGTGGGACTGTACAATGCACATGCCTGTGAAGAACTTGGCCCTGCCAGTGGTTCCTAATACCTCAGGGAAGGCTCCCCTCAAACTAGACTCCCCAGGAGTCAACCTACACATTGGAGCCCCTGATTTAGAGATAAGGAGAGGAAAGAGGCGAATGAGTAAGTCAGGGCTGTATTACCTTCCCTGCTCCTAACTCCAGCACTCAGACATTCTCACCCCCCAGCCTGTACCACCCTCAGACTGGCAGCCCCAGCCTTCCTTCTTGCCCTCTGACCTACAAGAGACACCTAGGGAGGGCCTGCTAGCCTGGGAAGGGCCAGCCTGCGTCCCAGTGGCAGCTGAATCCTGCCCCTGGATTAATGATTGCTCAGCTCAGCCACATTTCTCCACTGGCCTTGCAGGCAGCTGAGGGAGCTGGCTTCCATGCAGTCCGACTGACAGGGCCCAAAGTCCAACCTGGAGCCAGGCTGTCACCTGACCAGGCAGGAAACTGCCAACCTGTCCCCAGGGAGGAACCAGCAATAAGCAGGCTTGAGGCAGCAGTCCAAGGGCCCTCCAGCTTTGCCCCTCTGTTCTTGGAAAGCCCAGGACCACCTCAATGTCGCCCTCCCACACTCCCCAACCACCTCCTTGGGAGACCTGCTTCCACAGGAGCCAGCTTTGTCCCCTGCAGGGCCTGGCCTCTTCCAGCACAGGCTCCTCATTGCAGCCTGGGCAGTCAGGCCAAAGTGTGGCTGAGTCTCCTTCTTTTTATGAGAAAGACCAGGAAGGGCCAGAGAGCCTGGGTATGGGAGCACCTGTGGCTTCTCTCAGTTCTTAGACCAATTGGAGGGGCCAGAAGTAGAGCAGAAGGCAGAGCAGTCCTCCAAAGTTGAAGACCCTCAGGTTTGGTGGGCGAGTTTGCAGGTCCCAGCCAGCATTCTTGAGTCCCCTAATCCTGGGCTCTGGGCAGCCGTGTTAACATTTCAAACAACCTCCCCGCTGAGGTCTTCTTTGATCCTCCCAGCTTTTCTTAGAATCAGGCCCCAAACCTAATTCAACCCATTCTTCCCCCCCCCCCACTGGGTTGAGAGAAGAAATAACTCAAGGTGTTAGTGGTGGCCGGGAGCTCACAATCTTATGAGCCCCCAGCTCTGAGTTGGTGCCAGCTTCTGGGAGGCTGTGGGACAGAAGGAAAGAGGAGGGGGAAGAGGAGAGGGAGCCATGGGAGGAGAGAAGGGAGAAAGGAAGGAGCAGAGAGGTGATTGTGGCCACTTCCCCAACTCCAGGTCTCTCGTGTGCAACAGGTTGTTTCCCTTCATTCTTTCAACAAACGTCTCCCAGGCACCAGCTCTGTGTTCTAGCTTGAGACATTGACCACAGATATTCAATGATTAGATTGTCACTCTCTTAGCTGTGTACCCACAGTGTAGAAAAGTGGTTTTCACCGAGCACAGTGGCTCACACCTGTAATCCCAGCGCTCTGGGAGGCCAAGGCAGGAGGATCGCTGGAGCCCAGGAGTTTGAGGTTGCTGTGAGCTACTATGATGCCACTGCACTCCACTGTACCTGGGGCAACAGAGTGAGACTCTGTCTCAGAAAAAGAAAAAAGTGGTTTTCAAACTTTTTCTTTCAGTAATAGAAACTTTTTTCTCCCTCAAACAAAATCCCCCAAATTCAGATGGATAAAATAGATTAAAGCAATATTTTATAAGTTTATTTTATAAATGAAAACGTATAACCTTTACTTACCATAAAGTAAATCAGTGGGAACAGCGATGATATTTTGATGGACTACGAATCTGAAACCCTGAGTTACAGGAGATGGTTATGGTTTTATCTGAGTGCCAGCATTCGGTTTATTCCTGCAGCAGTCTGTTTTAGTTAGTGGGTAAGTAAAAAATAGTGAGTTTCATGGTAAGCAGGGGCACACGGTAAGAGTTTTAGCAACTTGGCAGACATGTCAGGAGAAGCTTTATTCTGAGGTCTGCACAGAAACAAGTTATCCGGCCAGCCCAGTGTAATGGCCTGTCAAAAGTTAGCACAGAACCCCAAATGCACATGTGTACCTACAGACATGCTTTTCATTACTTAAAAAAATGTCTGTAGGCCAGGCGAGGAGGCTCACACCTGGAATCCCAGCGCTTTGGGAGGCTGAGACAGCAGGATCACTTGAGGCCAGAAGTTTGAGAGCAACATTGTGAGACACTGCCCCTTACAAAAAAATTTTTTTAATTAGCCAGGCATGGTGGTCTGTGCCTGTAGTCCTAGCTACTTGGGAGGCTGAGGTGGGAGGATCACTTGAGGCCAGGAGTTGGGGGCTGTAGTGAGCTCTGATCAGGCCACTGCACTCTGGCCTGGGCAATAGAGTGAGACTCTGTCTCTAAAAAGAAAAAAGGTTTTTATAGATAAATATACAGTATAAATGATTATTGAATCCTACAATGAGAAAACCACAGGGTGCAAAAAGGAGCCTGGCAGCTAACCTGGTTCTTCTCTCAGTCCTGCCACTAACTTGCTGGGTATTTTTGGGCAAGATGCTTGCCCTCTCTGGGCACCAGTTCCCCCAACCTAAACATCCAGCTTTACTTAGGAAAGGAGTGTGTGTAGAGGCATTTGAGTACATTGGGGTTTGAGGATGCCATACACACTTGCAGAAGCCTTGACTCATCCTTACCACCCACCCCCATCCCAGTGCTCGGCCCAAAGAGGGCCCCGTAAAACCACTGAACTGCCCAAGTCCGAAGGCAGAGGTGGGTTGCCATGGAGACATGCTTTGTTTCCCCAACTGTCTGGCTGAATCTAACAAACACAAAAAGCTCAGCTCAGCCAGATGGACACTGACCTAGGACGAGAGAGCAGGGATTTCCTGACCCTGAGATTCAGAGGACTCACTGCTCTCCAAGGACAGGGGGCTCAGTTCTCTG